GTCAACCCACCCTCTTAAAACCTCCTTACACTCAGTAAGGGGCTCATGACCTCAAAATTCTGAGATACGCTTAATTTATGCCTTCCATTGAGCTGTCAATTAGAGTGAGCCGATGTTTAAGATTTGGAACCAACTTAACACAATAAGATTTCTTGTAGTTATGGTTGCTGTACGCTATTAAAAGACATGTGTGGTTAAGGGAAATCCAACCTTATGTACAATACGGATTTTCTGTGCTAGCCAGAGTGAGCGTGATACTGGTAAAGTGAGATTGAAAGCGAATATCGATTCGAACAGTGGTAATCTTATTTACTTCAGTCCTCACGTTGTCGTTTCAGCTGTAAGATTTTCTACGTAGAGTGGAGAATGACAACTTAAAAAAAAAAAAAAATAGACAGGAAGACAAAGATTCCTCCGTTACATATAGGCCTACATATCTTTGCGGTATTCAGCATCCTTTTTCTACTGAATTCAAAAAAAAACATTCATGCGAAATTGAAGTGAAAAGTTGCAACACCTGTGATTAAATTTATTGTAATGTCGCCGAGAATATTTTTTTTTTTAAGTTGATAATTATAATTCTATCTGCAAAAGAAAATTAATAAAATTTATTTGAAAGAAACTGTTCGCACGAATCCCAGAAATTTAAGATTCTCATTTTCTTTACAGGTTTTCGTACGATAATAAAATATTGGCAAAAATGTCGTTTCCTGAAGAGTCTAAAATCATCTACTTTCGTTATAGAACACAGTTTTCTACACAAGCGCCCCATCCTTTAACGACGCCTGACAATGGAAAGTCAGACACACAATTTATGCATTCCATAATGGGTCTGTTTCGATTTTGGATCTGTACAGAAACGCTCGTCTACCGAGACTCAATCCAAATGTTTGCTTGCAGTGTACTATCGCAGCGTTCTATTATGCGTGGGCTTAGTTTAGTTCGGTCCACTTGGTTGTTACCGGTGGGGGGGGGGGTTTGTTTTGGGGGGGGGGGGGTGTCAAGTAGACAGTTCTAGCGTTCCAGTTAGATGCAACAGGGAGACAGGAGGTTTCTCTATGCAAATCAGAACAAGCCCGTACAACACTACAAGCAAATCAAAACGCAAGCCGGCCTGCGTGTGATGATCCAACGTCGCTCATTACCATGACAACAGACTGACAACGGTTTCCAGAGGACAGACTAACTGGACCCCACAGTGACAGTGTCAACTCGGTGCAGTTGCTAGGGGGGGTCACTCCGTCTAACGAGAGCGAAAATTCTGGCAGAAATCCTATTTGCGAAACCAGGAAGACCAAATTTACCTCCAGACAACGTGAATATGAGGAATTGGAAAGGTCAGCTGTCTCACTGTCGTACATGTGAATGAGTTCTAGCCATTATAACAGTTTGTTCCCTTTCTTCAATTGAACTCGATAGATCGACGTGGGAGAAGGGTGGCGTTGGTAGTTGCTGGGGTTACCAACATTGCCGTCATAAATATCCCTCTATACACGCAGTGTGAAAGGGAACGAGGATTCCACTCTGTAATCCGTCTGTTTTATTGTCGTACAATAGAAAAAGCAGCTACTTGTTTCGACGCATCTGTTCCCGTTGTAAAAAGTAATACAAGGATGTAGATAGACAGCAAATGGCCTGTAGCTGTCTGGGGTTGCAGGGGGCGGATGCTTCGTCGAGGCGATTGGTCTCCCGACGCTCGGCGTCGGTTTTTTTGTTGTTTCTCAAGGCATCCGGGTGCCTACCTGCTATAAATGAGGCATCTCATGTAGATGAGAGCTTCGTCTCACTTTCCGTCTTTGGCATCATCGCGACGCTCGGCGTCGGTTTTTTTTATATTGCTACCAGTGGTATTCGGAGGTTTAGCTGCAGTGAATGTGGACAGGCGCCGACAGTCTTGGCTTCGTTTTTCCTACTTCGCGGTTAAGTGTATTTCGAGAACCACTTGTGTTAAATATGACGTAAGTTTCTGTCGACCGAAAACCGAAGTTATATATATTTATGGAAGGGTTTAGGTGACCTTCGGATTCAAACTGTTAAATGTATTCTCAGTGCATAATTTTACCCTTTTCGAAAAGCTTAATGACTTCACAAAGTAAAAAAAAATGCTATTTATTTAGGTGTAATATAATTTCTGCATCGAAGATATGAGCTTCTCCCTTACAATTAGTGCCATCGCTTTACTAAAACCGTCAACATCTGCAAGTAGTACTGTGCCACATGCGAAGTTGCATGCCGGTTTGCAGTTTTCTTCTCGTGCTTTTCAAACACGACCGACAGATAACCTGAGTTTTAAAACGAAGGAATTTCAACGTGTCAGGCATGGTCTGCCCGTTTCCTGTTGAATTTTACATAAGATAAGCTAGAGATATATTTCCGGATAGCTAAACCCAAATCCGATCTTTGATCTCCGGAGTACGACTCCGTATTCTCTGCACTGGGGCACAGGGTGACAATCTGGGCATCTCCGGCGAGAATGAAACGCATTAAGGCCGGTTAGGGACGTTTCGGAGCCACCTACGGAATGGCAGAACGCACTTTGACGAAAACACGATATAATATGATACGTGGTTTACACGTGTGACGCTCCTATATTTGTCGCTTCGTACGATATTTGTTGTGTCAGCACGTGCCTTTGTGTCGGGTCGAAGGGACACATGAATTGGGACTCGTGTGAACTTTGGAGGTAAACGATCATTTGCCTTTAACCTTCCGAAGCTGAAACTCAAATAACACTTAAAAATTCAGTCCGTACCGCAAAGAAAACACAACACCTCACCGTTGCAAAGATCAGCTGGTTAACGCTGTTTAAGAAAATAATCGGTGTTATTTTGTGAGTCATACTAAACTCTCTGTGTGCAAACAAGCAGAGTTAGTGATTTTTTAAGCAGACGTTACATGTAATCACCTTTTTTTTCCATGAAAGTTAAAATAAAACAGATATTTGTGCTAAAATTGGAAGCAGTGGATAGTTGTGATATCCTCCCTTATTATTCTTGATCTTCCAAGAAATAGCTTTACCAAAATTATGTCTTTATATTCTGCCCCCCGTTCTATAAGCATTTACCCGGGTATTTCACACCCTACATTTTATTACCCTAATATGAAGTCAATTTTGTGACGTCATGAAGTTCCACGTTAAAGTGATGCACTTCTAAATGATCGATTTATTTAATATTTGTTTGGTACAAATATTTTCCTAAACGTTGTTTTCTAACCCTGTAATTTATGTTATTTCTTCTTAACAAGAGACCTCGTTTGACAGCCGTACAAAGCAATTGCTAAATTGTTTTGCTGGACATGTAAAGGATTGCTTTATTATACATCTTACTGAAAGCAACGTAAATCCACAACCGTTCCGGTAAAGGACAAAATCGTTAGAACTCGTGATGGATGTATGATTGCGCACCTGAGTGAGGTAATGTAATGTGTCTCTACGCGAAGCATGTTGATTTACAAAAATGGACATGAGATTTTCGGGACTCTGTTTAGGCGATACAGTACATAGCAATTCATCTCTTGTTATTGTTATTATTATTATTATTATTATTATTATTCCATCTATTTACCACTTTATAGGGTAGTAGGGCAGAACGCTCCTTTCGGAGCTCCTCGGAGGGGGTGGTCAAGTTTTTAAAAAGCAACCAACCCCTCCTTCGAGGGGGTTGGTTGCGTTTTAAAATCTTGAGCATTGTTGTGTTGTACTCGGCATTGTTGTGTTCCACAACAATGCCGAGTTTGTTTATAGTTGACATTGTTGATGACGTAATTTATTGACGACGACGAAATCACAAATTTTTATAATATAAAGAAGATTTACTTCTGTGTACCCGAGACAAGCTTTGCCCCTAAGGTACATAGGGCAGCAGCTATTTCCGAAATACATTATTGTTATTATTATTATTATTTCAAAATACAATAAATTCGTTCATTCTGTTAATAGGAATAACGTTGTAGCTTCACACAGGCTTAACATCGATGAAGGAATAAAGTATCAGCTTTAAGCTCCTGCCTATTTAACCCCAGCGAACTAACACAACCCCAGTACCCATTGGAAAGATCTGTGTTGACCTCAGAGATGATCTCGTAATTCTAATATCCGCCAGTCTTTTGTTATGAGCGTAATCCAAGTTTGTTTTTGTTTATTTCTTGTTAATTTTTTTTCCAAGGCAAATATTTGGTCCAGAAGTATGTGATACAGGATGTTCAAAACGTTTCTGTACGGTAGGTTCGTAATTGTAAGCCTACAACATGCGTAGATTGGCAACATGCATGTTGGTAGCGTGGTATTGTGACAGCTGTTTGCTGTTGGCATAGCATTCTATGCAGAGTGAACATAATTTTGAAATACATTTTTGTAAATAAATGTAAACATAATTACATATTTTGTTTTCAACGTCATAGAAAATTTTTGAACATCCGGTATGACATATACGCTGTTCTACGATTTATTTGTTCTTGCAATGAAAGTTGACGATAGAATTTACATTTTAATAAAGCCATATACAATGGGGACATGAAACAGTGGAGAGACAGCTCCATGCCATCTTAATGTCCTTGACTGTTTTTTCAATGAATAATGTAAAGCAGTTCTGTGACCGCTCAGGATAGCATACAACATAATATATATTCAATTCAAATGTGTGTGTGTGTGGAGAGATTCGAAACAATTTTGTACCAGACGACCTTCGAACGAAACTTAACACAAAGGTGTTCTGTTTTTCTAAAGGGAATGACCCTCTTTATCAAACAAATAAAAAACCTAACCACTCATAAGGACCAAGACAGCAACCATAACACTCTTGTAGTATGAATATAATAGCTTCTGTGGACCATTAGATGGTTCATACGACTTCAGACCTTATCAGCTTAGCTAGCAATCGTACTAGCTTCATTCGGAAATATTTCCGAAGTTTCCCGAAGTCTCGGACATTGTGACGTTGCATGACGTCACCAGTTTGAACTTCGAGCAGGCAAACGAGTTGCTGTCGACAGTCGAACGCTTTGCAGTCTGACGGTATGAGCACACGTAGTAGGTAGCGCTGTAGTCGTGGCAGGGCGAGAGTAGTGGATCGCAAGTTATCGAGGAAAGTTTTGACTAAGTATATTTAATCTAGTGCGCATTTGTGCCGTGTAATTTGATTGTTTTGTAGCTGGATTAACATGACAGCTATATTTGTGTAGAGTAAGAAACGTGTTAATGTTACTTTGAAGCAAGTTTATTACAAGTACTTGTGCTATTGAATATTATTTCGCAACTTGCCGTGTGATGTTAGTCACTTGTTTGACCTTGGCGTAAGGTACCGACTTGTGCACTGCGAGGAAAGGTGTGTTTCGTGTGTAGATTTTTCAGTACTATTACCTAAATGACTCCATTATTGCTAACATCTTACTAAAAAGTATTTAAATCGATATTATATGTAAGACTGTTGCAATGGAAGTGCAGTGATTTGTTGTAAGACATAGTTTACCGTGTTTCAGCAACGGTGTTCATTATGGGAGGTGTTTTTGATGGACGTATTTGCAGATTTTTTGTCTGGACAGCATTTCTCACTTTCCTGCTTGTAAGTGCTGATGACATCCAACAGCAAGGTATGTTTCTGAGAATTAATCTTTTGTTTTTCTTCAAGGTGTTGCCCCCATTTCATCTGGAGCACAGAGACTCCTCTGTCGCCGCGCCTTTTGAGGTTAACTTTCCGGTGTTGCGTTGTTTTCAAGAGTTAAAGTAGGCTGAGGATGGTTACAGAAAACCTAGGGTGTGATTATAATTGCTTATTAAACCCACGTGTAATAATTTTCACTTGTTAATTAGATTTTTTTATTTGTAAACGAATTGTCGGTGATCCTGTAACTGAGATAAACGATATATGCATGTAAATGATTGTTTTCATATTCGGTATGTTTCGAACAAGAATGCAAAAGACATTGGCTTTGAAAGAATTCTAAGAATTTTCAGACTCGTCGGAGTAAGAATTTATAATTAACTTGCTAGACCAGCATTAACTTACATTATATCACGGCTATTGCGAAAAAAATATTGGAAAATATTAATATCAGCAGAAAATAATTTCGTGGAGAAGAATGCTGGATAATTCGTTTTTGACCGTAGAAAAAAAAATTAAACGTTGACAAAATTGTGGGTAACACGATTTAATTTACAGAAAAATAACAGCGGAAATGAAAGAACATTTTCACAGGATGTAAAAGGTATTTAGGTGGACCTATAAAACACGATGGAAGGTTTCTTGTTTTGCAGTAACAGCCCTCACTATAAGCCGAATGTTGGAAAGGTGATGATGAAATTGCTTTTCTAACCTTGACTGAAGTCAGACCTAACACAGGTCGGCTCTTATACACGGAACAGTTTGTCTCAGTTTCGTGCCCCATTTAATTATGGTTGCTTAATTAATTATTGGATTCCAAATGCTTTAATTTTTAAAAAATCGTACGAATTATAATTCGGACTGGGAGTGTTGGAATAAGTAGAGATTTGCAGAAAAGGTACGCCATCTTTTTATCTTACTAGGACAGAACGCTCCTTTCGGAGCTCCTCGAAGGGGTTGGTCAAGTTTTTAAAGAGCAACAAACCCCTTCGGGGGGGTTGGTTGCGTTTTAAAATCTTGTGTAAGACACTATACTCGGCATTGTTGTGTTGTACTCGGCATTGTTGTGTTGTACTCGGCATTGTTGTGTTGTACTCGGCATTGTCGTGTTCCACAACAATGCCGAGTTTGTTTATACTTGGCTTTGTTGTGCTGTACTCGGCATTGTTGTGTTGTACTCGGCATTGTCGTGTTCTACAACAATGCCGAGTTTGTTTATACTCGGCATTGTTGATGACGTAATTTATTGACGACAACGAGGAATCACAAATTTTTATAATCGATAGATTACACGCTGCTTTTAATATCATTTGCAGAATTCATGCGTCATTTTCTGTTCGTGACGCATTATGTGTGACGTCACAAACTGTCGTCTACTGATGAACACGTCGTCAGAAACCGTCAAATTATTGTACTCGCCCGATACTCTGTAACTTTTTTTGAAAAGCTGGCATTTGTAAATTTGAGTCTCGGATGGGCTTAGGTCTACAGTGTTTACGTTTTTCACAAGACAACATTTCCCTGACGACATGTTCACTTGTTTTCACGATAAGATCATTGGCCAGTCCCTTTAGAAAGCTGAGTGGCCAAGGAATGTTTCCTTGTACGTACATAAATGTACGAAATGTGTATGAAAATTGTTTTCGAACAAGTCTGAAATATCGTGTGCTTTTTTTTTTTTTACGTGACAAAATGAGTTATCATTGCCCAATTACATGTGTTTCCCCAGAACGAATTTTGCGTTAACTTAAGATGCAGTGCAGTTAAGATAATTCAGAACGAAATTTTAATTTTCTATCGGATGAAAGAAAATTACCTATGGCGTGTAGACGGCAGGGTAAGGTCAGAATCATGTTTTTGATCTCCCAAGTTCTTGTTCATCCCCGTGTTCTGAGCTTATATTGATTCCAGAGCTTGTTTGCTACGTAAACGCTGTTTACTTCTGCCCGCCTTAATGACTGTCCTTAGGCACTTGCACCCGGAACTTTGGTTGAGTAAGAAATACGTTTTATCGAAGACATTCCAGGCGAAATAACAGTACATTTGACTGTAGACGTGGTCAGAATTAGACCCCGGAGGTCGGAAGCGGCTCCCGGCTATACGCGCGTATAAACTTTAGTGTGGGCGTTTTTAATATTGTATTTTTC